TTAGTATTAGTCACACCGATACGTTTCGGCTCTTTCCTTTGATCATCGAACCTCTCTCTTTCCGCCACTGTCTGTCCCTTTCTACGTTCACGCTTGGCTGATCGTCGCGTGTAACCCGAGATTCGACACCTCGCTTGGATAAATGCAACCACTCAACAGATCGAAGTGAACTAACTTTGCCAATGAGAGTAATGATAGAGCAACGAGTCCCAATCTCGGTTGCATTTATCCAGGTTTTACTGTACTTCGTAATGTTTTCACGACGTTATTGGTCTTCCTTTCCAACTTCGAATGTGACTGCTAGCTTGAGCGTCTGCGAGGTTTGTTTCGCTCTTTGTCTTTTGCTACATTCGAAAATAGGTCATGGTTCGTGGTCATAAATCTGTTATTCTCGATAACCAAGAGTAACCGAGGGAGACTCGTGTCGACCCTTTGAAGTCACCGAACGTAGAAAAAGACAAAAAGCCAAACAGACTTCGCAACAATCAAGTTGGCATGGCAGTCCCATTTGAAGTAGGAAAAGAAACAACGTTGTGAAAACGTTATGAAGTAGTGCAGAATATTACATGTTTTTCATCTGTGCAACGTGACAGTGAATAAAAATATTTATTTACATGAACGAAAATTCTGTGAAAGGTGAAAATGATCGTGTGGTTGAGTGAGTTCAATGATCTTGTCTGGAGATCAGCTGTTCTTCGAAATTTGTTCCCTCCTCGAATGTTTAAGATCGACATAATGACCCAGTGAGAATTATCTGCTTTTAGCATAGCAGGTTAATTTAGGAACGAATGGGTAAGTTTCATTTAAATCATTTTTAAATTTTTCTTAATTATTCCATTTCAAACATTTTTATTTGTTGTTTAGTGTTACGTCCCGGCAAAGAAAATTCTATTATCTCCGATTTCAAATGACGAAAGCATTAGCAATCATGAAATCAGTTCATTTACTGACCTCCTTAGAGTCACCAGCGTCAACGAATTCTTTCTTCTTCTCTAAACACTTCGTCGAAAAGTTGTGCCAATGCACCGACATTCCAACAGGTCAATACACTAGTGAATTCTTTTCTCAACCCATGCAAAACCAGCATTTTCGGCCATAATAAAAACACGATTACGGGCAATAGCGAACACAGTCGGCCATACAGTCGCGAGGTGCGCGGTCTCTCTGTCCGAGGAACGCCTAGTATTTTAAAATGCTTCGAGCAGAGTTCCGTGAATAGTAGTGTCACGCGAAAAGACTCAGTTTTCCTCGTTAAAGAAAGACCAGTTTCAACTCATTTACCGATAGAACCGTTAGTGAAAGACATTAAGACTCAGTGTACACCCATAATTTCGATCATCCGTGCGTCGAGAGGAAGGGAAAGAGAGGGCAGCGCTCTATCAAACTCGTTAACCGTTTTTGTTCATCCGGTGAGTCCCAATCAAAATCTGTATACTCTGTCCTCGGTTGTTAAGGAAATTGTAACATCTTTTCCGTTTGAAAAGTATAACAAATCGACTTTGTAACCAATCATTTCTTTGGGGTAATATATTAATAGTTATTTATTCAATTTTGCTAATTATTTGTTGCGTATACTGTTACGTTGCGCGTGCGACGGCGCAACGTAAAAAGGAAAGATAAAAATTGGAGGATACAGGTGGTTAAATTTCAATTAATTGGTTGGAATTCAACCCCCAATACCTACTTTCCTATTTTAGCGCGATGGTTGGTATCGCTGCCACCAGTCTCTAGCGTGTTAACGTTCTCGACAAATTAAAAAACGAAAGACAAAATTGATAAGATGTTAAAAGATTATAATTATTAGCCTTTCGTTGGGTTCGTTCAACGCTTGGTCCCGTACGGGACCCTCCTTGAATCTGAGTATGTTGGTAGGCGTGTTTGGCTGAAATGCGTGAGGTGTGTTTGAAGTAAATGGAAACTGTTTAACTAAATGAAACTGGTTTAATTGTGAGTGCAAAATACTGTGAAATGACAAAGTTAAGAGTTCAATAATTTAGAAATTCCGTTAAATTAGAATTACCAGTTTTGCAAAAATGTGTACAAGTGTAAAGATGCTTAAAATTAATTAACAAAATATATATATATGAATATGAAAACACTCTGATATCACAGTTGAAACATTAGACTAGTGTACCGGTCGCGTGAATCGATTATTACAATTTCGCTTCCTATATTTAGCTGTAAAATCGGCGGTTTCCGCCCGCGGTACACCCTAGCCTGAGAAATTCTCGTAACTCCCGAAAGAGCTGGACTAAGGTGCCCTTTAGATGATGGAGAGATCAGAATTTTGAAATTGTAATAAACGCAAAAATAATATTGAATATTGGATAATATCGATACCTCCCTCGTACGGTGGAACGATCTGACCTGAGAAATTCTCGTAACCCTGAAGGGCTGGACCAGATCACCCGTTTTGCCAATCAATGAACGTCGTGATCGAAAAATGTAATTGAAACGACTTACCGTTACACTGTATAATGCGAAACAAGATTACAATATTCGTTTGCTAAATTCTGTGTATTCGCCTGATGATCTAGAACACCAAAGAAACGGTAAGACGTTGATCACTGCACTTGTCGCGGCGGAACGAATTTAAACGGACGAGTACGTCGACGAGAGACAAACGAATAACGAGTTACGATTAATTACAATTTATTACGAAAACGATCAATATATGATTTACGCGGAGTGAAGTTAATACGAAAACTGCGCGAGCAAACGGTTTAAAAAAGGAAAGAAATGATAGAAAATTTAGGTAGAGGGAAAATTTAACGTGCGCGTCTGTGAGTCCTTGTTAAGAAACGGATTACTTCAACTACCACGGCACTCTGCCTCGCTACGCGGAGGACTTTACCGCAGAGGAAATCTATCACGAATTCCGAACAACTCTGTCTCTCGGACACACGGGCTCCCGATCACGTACCTGACGATTGATCGATCAAGAGTGACAAATTTCGTGCGCGATCGATGGCCGAAAGGCCCGACGCGTGAACATCGTCCTTGGAGGGGACGGTTTGGCGAATCGTAGCCCGTTTTCGGAAGTGTCGCGTGCCCGGTGATTGGCTAAGACGCGCGAGCTAGACGAAGATCTTTCATCCCCTTTCTTTGGTGTTCCTTCCTTTTCTTATTCGTCGCCATGATACATAGTTTCAACGGTTTCCAGAAACTATGCAGTATTTATCATTATACATATAATCAATTAATGGCATTATTCGAGATATGACTATTAGTTTAATTGGAATGCAGAATGAGATTTGAAATTGAAATATAAAGGTTTTGATAGGAAACCGTCATCCGAATGTCATGATCAAAATTATTCATTCCCGATTTGCAAAAGACAGTATGATTTAATATGTTTGAAAGCGGTTGATGCGCTTACGGTGGTTGTAACGCCGTGGCTAATTATGCAATCTGTCGCGCATTAAAACTATCGCCTCGATGAATTCGGTATTTCGCATTTTATGAATTTTAAACAATTCTAAATCTGGCGAACGTTCCTTCGAGAACGTTCCTTTGTTCAAATTTGCCGTTATCGCTAGGCAGTTCTTAGAATTTCGATACAATAGTGTTTATTGCTTCGAACGACCCTTGATTTTCGAACGGCGGTCGAACGTTCGCGACGTTCGCTTTCGTAAGGGTTCTCAATTCTTACTTTCATTGTTTAAATTTGTTTTCATCCATCCACTCTCTCATACTATCGTTACAATCAGGTAAAGATGATCCTTGTTGGACCGGCTGACGCTTTGTGCAACGGAGTGAGAAAGAGGTTTCTAACAAAAGAGTTATTACGATTTTCCCGTTTCTACGCAGTTACCAAGGGAAATTCCCGAAATGCGAAGCACTGGCTAACTGCGTAGCGCTGGTGTTATTGCTACGGCTCTCTCTCTCTCACTCGAGCTAACCCGAGTTTTTGTGCGTATTAGTCTCTTATGTTACAATGGCTGGCGACGATAGTTTCAAGGAGGGTCACGTAAACTATTGAAAAGTAGAAAATAGAAACGGCCTTTCCTCGTGTACCTCGCATGAGAAATTCTCGTAACCCTCGAAAGAGCTTGACGAGATACACGATTCCAGGGTAGAGCAGGTAAAGAAGAGAAAGCGATAGAGGAAGTCAAAAATAGAAAAGAATTAAACTCAAACTCTTCCTTTTACATCCCTGCATGAGGAATCCTCGTAACCTCGAAAGGCTTGACAAGAATGTACAAGGTTGAGGAGGAATGGAAAGATTGGCGGAAAACCGAAACACTCGCCTGTACGCCCCTTACATGAGAAATTCTCGTAACCCAAAAAGACTTGATAAGGGACGCAAGGCGGATAAATGTCAAATTTTCCGCCGGGGCGTAACAATACCCAACTCTGTATCCAACGAACGAAAGGCTTGTATAAGTCTAGACCGAATCCGAATCCCATAATACTATTACTTCATAAAAGGTGTTTAAGCGTTACGTCGGATCACAAACTTCCGCAGAGTAGTCGCCTACCACTACGCCTACTCCGTACGTAACATTAGAATGTTCAAAATTTCCTTCTTTACATTATGACAGGCGACAAGAGATTAGATTCCGTAATCATTTTAAACAACAACTAAAAATGTTCAATCAGTTCAATTTTTTTATTGTGCTGTGCCAACGAGGTGCCGAGCCGTTCGTTCGCAACCTACGTCAAACCCCGCTTTCATAGTCGATGCTGCCGCCCCTGAGCCCGCGCGCTATGCGCGCCCTGATTTGCCAGTGTTTTTCCTTAATAATTCAATAATGAAGCTTCATACAACATTTTCGCACAGGAAAATGTTCAGAATCACCCCAGCTACCACCCCTTCACGGGACCAACGCGAGTTCTGAAACACCCTGTATAAACGAAATGCTTGTGTTCCGATTTTCTTGTACTTATCTAGGTTTTTCTGTATTGGGAAATCTAAAGTGTCTTATTTCTGAAACTATAAATTTAAAAAATTTGTTAAATAATACTAATTTTAAACATTATGCTTATATTTACTACAGAAAAAGAAAACACCATGGAAAGCTATTTTCACTTCGGTACCGATGTGGGCTCTCATAATTGTACATTGTGGACAAAATTGGGGATACTGGACTCTAGTTAATGAATTACCGAATTACATGGACAAGGTGTTGAAATTCAATTATGAACAGGTAACGAATTTATTATTATACAGTAATGCCTTGAAAATTGACCGTGATTGTGCCTTGAAAATTGACCGTGATTGTGCCTTGAAAGTTAACCGTCGCTATTACTACCAATGGTTAATAACGTGATAAGCAGATCAAGCCCATCCATCCAGTGTTGTCAATCCATCCTTTCACTTTTATCAATGAGAGGAATATTGTGCCCGCAGGGCAACTACTTATTGGTACCTGTGAATACACGTGGTTTGCACTGTTACGTGCTGCGCGCGCGCGTGTATTTGGAACGTTACGAGGTGTAAGTGTAACATGTATGTATTGTATGAGTGTAAAAGTGTGTAATGTGGTAGTGTGGTAGTCGAGTAATGTGACTGCCGGTGTCATGTAGGCAGATCGTTTTATCAAACATGCCTCTTTTAAGAAATAAACCTTTAACATCTGGAAAGGAAACTCTCAGGTAAACAGGCCGCTTGCTCTTGAAATAAACAGAAGGCCCAGGGATAACAAAACCAAATGTTTTGGGAAAGCAGTAGGTCCACCGTAATTACACAACAACTGCAACCACTCCAAACTGTCACAGAAACAGATGGGCCCAGCCCGATCATCTAAATAGTAATCAGATCGCCCCTTTCTAATTAGTATATAAACCTGTTCGTACCAACATTCTGGGGCAGTACCGAAGTTCATCTAGTGTTGAGCACATCGTGTGCGATCGTGAACTGGTTGCTGTTTAGTGAGATCGGGTTGAAGTCCCCTTCGAGCAAAGTTAACCTTATAGAATCTTATTTAACCTTATAAAATGAGTACCGTCTGTGTTTTTATTTGGCATTCTTAACAACCACACACGACACCCCGCATTGCCAGTACGTCAAAACCGAGCACCCAGCGGAAAGAGGTAATATACAATATACACACCTATAACGCGACAAGAACAACTGTAATAGCCTGATATGTAAAATATGTACATTACTGTGTCAAACCCACATTAGCATTCTTCTTCAAACCCAGTGAAACTAGTGACAGTTCCCACAACAATACAATCTAACCGTTCGGATTGTATTGACAATAATAAAATATAAGTTACGCGACCTCTCATCCGAAAGCCTCACGCGCTGCCTAGCGATCGGCTACGTAACACCGGTAAACGTAACGCGCGTATGACACCTTAAAGCCAGAAAATTTACCCTAACAATTTCTATTGCTATTGGGTCTAAAAATATTGTGGGTTCGGAGGTACGCTAGTCCCATACGGGTCCTTTTATCAGATCGCTAATATTACAGAAATAATAAAGGAGGCTAATACAAAGGTTATGTTAAAAAAAATGAAAATTGGTTAGAATAAATGAAAAATAGTATATTATAAAGATAATAAATGAAATGTGGTATACAATAATAAATTTTGAACAAAATATGAATACAAATTTAGTTTGTGTACAATAATGATTGAGACACAATTAATGGTTACAGAAGAAAACGATTATTGGAAAGATGAAATTTAGAAATTTCCAGTTAGGGCAATCCTACAGTCAAATACTGACTACTGGAAATTCCTTGCCAAAATATTCATAAAAATATAACTGGAAGAGTAAAGGAAAATAACTCGCCAAAAATATATGTATTGTGACCCGTTATAACGTGGGTGCACTCTATACAAACTCACAATACAAATCGTTGGGCGCCAGCCACTCACTGTGGCGATTGAAGTCAAAAGGGAACAAAGGGAAAATCGGGGACTATACAGGGGATGGATTTCGCGGCTCTTCCGGGATGGCCGTAACAATACTTCGCGGGGGAGTACGCGAGGAGGATAGTTTAGGGTAGGGAAATCTCAGGGTGGGAAGGGTTCACGGAAAAGTTCCTTTACGTTACGCGTCGAGGCGGGGTCGAAATAAGGGAAATTTAAAGGGGATTGGAAAAAAGGGGGTTACGACGAAACCGCGGAGTATAAACGAGCGGACGAAGAAGGTACCGTGACTGGAGCTCAGAATCACAATTTTAGATAATATAAGGGTGTTCGAAAATGTAATTTCTACCGCCTGCACGCGGACCGCGGCAGCACTTAGCAGCGCGACCGGCAGCCACCTTGGATGCCGGTCACGCCGACCACTCAGGGAGCGTTACGTCAGCAAAAAGAAGCCAACGGTTCTTGCTGCGACGAAGCCGGTTGATCGGCCATTATTGTTCTGGTTAGCATACTACGAACACGTGCGAACACAGTTTTCTCGACAGGCAAATTTCTCAAGCTCAATCTCAGAATCTAGTACTGCAAGTTAACCGCGTGTGAAGTGCCAACGGCCAACGCGAACTCGCGATTAGCTTTGACGTACGCAAATCCACGTGATTAATATAATTACGTGGTGCCACGTGCTACGCTAACACGTGGTCCTATACAGCGCAAGCACAATCTCGAATCCACCGCGACGCGTGTGCGAATAGCTCGATCAACGATCATTGTACCTTCGTGCAACGCACAATTTTCTGTAAATAGTGTACATACTGAGTGTCTGTAAATACATTGTTTTTTGTGCAAACTCAAGTACATAATTTTCCCGTCTCACTGCCGATCCTACAACCGAACCGGTCTCGTACAATCTCAAACTCGAACGCCTACTTTTGAACATTTCTTTGGTCCTTCGAGCCGGATCGGCAGTGACGGGTTGTGCTCGGCAACAACGTTGTTAGTGAAATCTCGAACTCAGTGACTAGAATGAGTGAGAAAGGTGACAAAGTTCCCAAGGCAACGCCACAGGAAGCCAAGTCGGCCTCAAGACCGACGTCACCCACGCCGGTGACATCAGCAACGCTGACAGTGCCAACGGTACTACCGGCAGAAGCACCTCCACCGACGGTGGAAAAACGCGTAACACGCGCCTCATCTCCTGCCGGCTTGTCAACGGAGCTGTCCATGAAGGCCAAGACGCAAATGAGTAGAGTCGAGTCGAAGGCCTCCGCAAATTAATGGACAAGATGCCGGAAATGATGGATGAAACTTCTCTCGACGAGATCGACTTCATCGACAAGCAGGTCGATGAAATACACAAGGCGTTCCAAAAGGAGCATTCCTACCTTGAAGTTACCTGGCCTTCGGGTCAGAACTCCCATCCATATGTCAGCGACAATTGCTACGACCTCGAGATGAGCGTGGTCATCGAAATCAGACGACGTCTGTGCAAGTTTCGGGCCGCATTCGCAAGGCTGCACGCAGCGCGTGCAGCATCACCATCACGACAAAGGCCGTCGAAACTCCCTGAGTTGACGCTTCCCACTTTCGCGGGTCGCTATGAAGCGTGGCCTGCGTTTTGCGAGCTTTTCAAATCGATAATCATCGATAATCACCGATTATCTGATGTGGAGAGGCTGCATTACTTGAGGTCAAGCCTCCAAGGGGAGTCGCTACGCGCCATCTCCAACCTGCCGGCGATAGGAGAATCCTTCCCAATTGCTTGGAAGAATTTAAAGCAACGCTTTGAGAACAAGAGAATCATCGTACAATCTCTGCTTGACAAGCTCTGTGCGACACCACCAGTGCAACAGAAGAGCGCAATGGTTCTCCACAACGTGGCGGCCAATTTGCGCGATTTCAACACCTCGTTGCGCGCTCTTGCTTCAACCGACGAGTTGTGGAATTGCACACTCATCCATCACATCTCTCGTAGTCTTGACAAGACTACGCGAGAGGCTTGGGAAACCAGCCTAGGAAACTCTGAAGAATTTCCGAAGCCAGAGCAACTGGAGGCGTTCCTGACGACCAAGGCACGGGCTCTAGAAAGGGTTGAAACGCCAACGGCCAAAAATCAGCCTGCTCAACCTCAGGCAAAGGCGAAACCAACAGGTCAACGACCTGCCTTGACAACGTCACAGGCTAACACCACCACAAGAGCAGCCGCACACGCCTATCCGTGCGACTGTTGTCAGGCCGACCACTTCATTGTGTCATGCACAAAGTTCAGGTCGATGCCTGTACCAGAAAGACGAAGTCTAGTGGACAAACTGTCTCTGTGCAGAAATTGTTGCGGCCGTCACACCACTGCGAATTGCAAGTCTGAACACCGTTGCAAACAGTGTGGACGGCCTCATCACACAATTCTACACCTGGCTGCAACGCAGCCACAGACCACAGCCAAGCCTGCGGCAACACAAGAGAATCCGACAACGTCGTCCTCTTCAACACAAACACAATAAAGTGTAGGTGCAGTCGTCAAGCACTCAAGCACGATTTCAATGGGTCAACGATCCAGTACAACCGCCAACACAAACGATCAACGATCAAGCTCGCTTGCGACGCAAGCCGAGCTAACGCTGTTAGCAACAGCACATGCACAAGTCATCACCTCATCCACGACCTACAACGCAAGGCTGCTCGTCGACTCCGGATCGGAGCTCAGTTTCGTTTCTGAAGATCTCGTCGAACAGCTAGGACTTCAACGCACTCAATCTTCAATCTCCATCACTGGCATTGGTGGCAAGAAATCAACACAAACTCGAGGTATTGTATCACTACATTTACAATCTCTTTACAATACCTCATCGATCTCAATACAAACTCATGTGTTACGCACTCTAACCACAATTTTGCCGTCTTCTGAGGCACCCCACCAAGACTGGCCACATCTCAATCGTCTCAAGTTGGCAGATCCTGAGTTTTACAAACCACGACCCATCGACGTCATCATCGGTGCCGACAATTATGGACGAATTATAAAATCAAATGTAATTAAAGGTTCGCCATCAATGCCAGTCGCCCAGCTCTCAATATTCGGATGGCTCGTTATTGGACCAGCAAGGAGGCGTCAAGCTCGTGCTTATTCATCATTTAATGCATCAATCTCTCAAGACAGCGACGCTGCTCTGAGAGAACTGCTGACGAAATTCTGGATTCAAGAGGAGCTTCCAACGGAAAACACATCTCAACTCACACCGGACGAACAAGAGTGTGAAGATCACTTTCGTGCAACGCACAGCCGTGATTCTACTGGGCGATACGTGGTGCGTATTCCTCTCAAAACAAATACTAAAGTCTTGGGTACCTCTTACAGCACAGCTCGCTCCTGCCTGCGACGCACGCTCAGCAAGCTCACTCGAAATCCTGAGTACCGTGAGCAATATCAGCGATTCATGATGGAGTACGAGGACCTCGGTCACATGAAGAAGGCTTCTTCAATCTCGCCCAACGACTCTTCAATTTACTATCTTCCACATCACGGAGTTTTCAAGCCTGGCAGTGAAACAACAAAGCTGCGGGTCGTCTTCAATGGCTCAAGTCCAACAACAACTGGACTTTCTGTCAACGACATCATGCACACTGGTGCGAATCTCCTGCTCAACATCAACGACGTTTTGCTGTGGATTCGCCATCACAAATGCATATTCGCCACGGACATCACAAAGATGTATCGTCAAGTACGAGTACATGAAGACGGTTGGAATCTCCAACGGATACTCTGGATAGATGAGGAATCAAATGAAGTCCCATACACACTGACAACAGTCACCTACGGTACCAAAGCTGCACCATTTCTAGCTGTCAGAGCCCTGTTGCAACTTGCAGAGGACGAAGGTCAACGCTACCCACTGGCAGTACCATCAATCAAATATGCAAGGTATGTCGACGACATATTTGGTGGTGCAGATTCTCTTGATTCGTTAATTGAAATTGCTTCACAATTAACTGACTTGTGCAACGCGGGCGGTTTCCCTCTTGCAAAGTGGCACTCAAACGAAGCCTCTCTGTTTGAAACCATCGTGCCTTGCAATAATTCTCAAGGTACATCAATCTCACTAGACGACGACGCAACACCAAAATACTCGGATTGCGATGGAACACTGTCAACGATAGTTTCACATTCACTACTAAATCTCACCACAATCTCAATTTTACAAAACGCCTTGTATTATCTGAAGTAGCACAGATATTTGATCCGCTTGGCTTTTTGTCACCAGTCATTATTCGAGCGAAGGTACTCCTGCAAGAATTATGGCTTCTCAATCTCAAATGGGATGATCCACTGCCATCCCATGTTACTATACGATGGATTGCGATCAGAGAAGATCTCACAAGTCTGGCCAGACTCTCAATACCAAGGTGGTTCAACACCTACAACAATTCTACAGTGGAATTACACGGCTTCTCTGACGCTTCACAACTCGCCATGGCAGCAGTAATTTACATTACTGTTTTTTCGCCGTCCACAGATCTCAAGGTGACGTCACTGGTGTGCTCCAAGACAAAGGTCGCACCTCTCAAAAGGCTTACAATTCCCCGACTCGAGCTCACAGCTGCGCTGATACTTGCAAAATTACTGAAATACGTTCAAGCTAATCTCAAACTCAACATTGCTACAATTCAATTCACCTGTGGACGGATTCTCAAGTAACACTTACAT